AAAACAATAGGGTTTTTAAAGGAATGTATTTTCTAGATAACTTCAAAGGGTTTAAATTTAAAAAAAAACGTTTTCCCAATATTTTAAAAGTTTAAGAAACTTAAAATACATGACAAAACTAAATAAAATATGACAAAATCATCCAAAATACTTCTGAAAATTAAAACTTTGTCATACGCCCCAAAATTGTTTCTTTCAAATTATTGTTCATGCCTCCAAAATAAGTTTGACAAGTACTAACTGCTGACAAGTACAAAATTTATTACATTTGATAAGACGTTAGAGCAAACATTTCATCTCAAGCTTTGTTTTCAAAAGTCAGGATTTACAGGCTACTTCAGTTTCATAATAAATCTGCCATATCTCTGTGTAATACAGCTTTGTACCCATTTCTTGTTACTCTTTATATCATTTTTATATTTGATCAGGTACCCACGTTTTAACGTCATTTCGATGAGGAGAAATAAGTATATGTAGAGAGAGGGTGTGTTTCTTTTGATCTACTTTATAACAAGTACTGTGGTACATTGTAAAGCGTCATAAAAATATTTGATTACACCAAGAGTGTACTTGAAAAAGTTTTTATTGATCTTTTTCCCTCTCCTGCTCATTTATGTATATTTATACTCACGTACGCATCTGGATTTAATTCGCCAGCAAAACAAAATGAAATAAAAGTCCCAAACACGGACGACCGGGGGCGTTTTTCTTTGCTAAAGTAAAATCCAAATGAAACTTTAGTATCTTGCTAGGATAAACCCATTATGATGAACATTTTATATTTCTTATCTGCAACAAATGCATATTTTTCTCTTCAAAACATGAATTGACGTGTTTCTTTCCATCTATTGAATTGTAGGTTTTTTAAAATTACATTACCCATATTCAGTAAGTATGTGTGGCCAAATACATATTTTTTTAAGTGTAATTTTGTAACTAGTAATGCATTATTTAATCACTTACGTCCGCCTATTTTAGGTTTCTGTCAAATCAAAATTCTTTCTTGCATACAGTTCATGTAACAGATGAACATACAGATGAACATACAGTATAATTTACCATTATGTGATAAGAGTTGATGTATATTAACTAGTTAGTATTATATATTTTTAGTTAGCATATAAAACACTTAAGATTTTTATTTGTACTCACGAATGTGCACAAAACGAGTATTTTTTAATAACCCGTTAATTGCAAAAATCAAAAACGCCCTTAACAAACAAACTCCTTTTAAGGACAAAGCCCTGGTAAAACCCACTGTAAACCATGTTTACAATCTATTTTTACATTCTGTCAATATATGTATTAGTTTTCCATTCAATTTTCAATCCTTTATCAATAATTTTATTGCCCCTTCTTATATTTCAATTTTGTTTAAAAATGTTTCGAGGATAATAAATAAAACTGGCGATCTTGAATAACAATATGTTGATGCCGGTAGCGTTTCTTTTTTAAAAGTTTGCTTATTGAAAAAATGTTTTATTGGTTGGGTAGATAACACCGACACTAAATCAAAGATTTATTTTTGCATTTTCTTAAAAATCTTGTAGTGAATATACAATTGGCTTACTCAAACAAACTTCAGTTGAAACATTTTTATGACAAACTACAAAGATAAAAACTTATTGAAAATTGTTACCTTGTTAAGACCATGCATGATGTACCCACAACATGGTATTTTTACAGCAGGACAGATAATAGAGTCAACACCTCGAGATAAAGTAGAGAAATAGATTTAAAAAAAAAACATGTCTATTCTTGACCACAGACCTTTAAGGATTGAATATAGAGAAAATGCCAATCATTATCAAACATTTTTCAAAGTATACAAATTACCATCTGGTCTTAGACAACACAATAAATTATCAATGTTGGTACTATGTATTAATCAAAAATAAGACGTCATTCATTTTGACGATATTACTCTCCGTAGCGCTGACTAATTAAATTAAAGTTTTGGTAACGAAAAAATCACGTAAGCTATTGAAGGATTTTAAATTTATAATATCATATTTTATGAGCCACTATTAGAAGACATTTTCTAAGCTTTTGTTATTCATCATGAATATCAGCTCAATGGCATTTTAAAAATGACATTTAAAAAACTGTTTGAACCAAATACAGCAAGTCACCTTTGCTAGGATTTGATACATGTTGTAAGAGACACTTGATTACGTTACAGTTAGGTTTATGCTCAAGTTTTAATGATACCCCATTTATAAATTTGATGACGACTGGTGAGACAAAATTCATAACATTAAAATTTCCTGTGTAGTAATTTCGTAAATATTGTTGATTATTATCTTTTTAATCAATATTTCATCATCGAAATGTAACCAACTTTCCTTAAGAATCGCCTTGGTGATGAACAATTAAATGCAAAAATAATGACTCAATATTAATTATGTCCAAGAGCAATGTGCATTCTATTTTATTTTCTAATCTGGATTGAGCGAAATGTCCCTACAGACACGTGATTGATCTTGCAGTCGCTTTTTTACAACACAAACACACTTACCTCCTCTAGTTAAACGTGAAATGTCGTCTAAACACTCTCGCAAGATTATAGAATTGTACATTTGTTGATTTCTTGGGTTGTATAAACAATAACAATTACAAAATTGCGTGATTGCTCAGGCAAAATCTTTTAAATTTGTCAACAATTTTCTCAATTGTTTACGCATCTGAGGCTGTGTATTTGCCAGAAAAGAAAATATATAAACTGTACTCTTTTTTGTATAACGGTGAAGTTGGACAAAGTTGAAACAGTGTTTTAAACAAAATTTCAACAATTTTGTACAAATTTCTCAAAACACTACTAATATAAAATATATCAAACTTTAAGCGATGTTTTTAGTAAATCTGTTCAATATACTCTGGTATCTTATTTTCATCAAAATAAAAACACAAAAAATGGAAGATATACTTTTGTTTCAAAAAGCTTATTTCAATGTGATTAAATATATTTACGAAGACTTTATAATAAAAACCAGAAAACAAAAATGTTATTTGGCTGCTTTAAATTTCCTTCTGTCAACATAAATGATACATTCCATAAGAGAGTGCATGTTACGGTGGAATGTACACCTATATTCATAGGTATAATACTTTAATATCATTTGAAGCAAAGAAAACAGCACTACAAATTTGTTTTGATAATTATAGTGTAGTATAGTACATGTTACGGTGGAATGTACACCTATATTCACAGGTACAATACTTCAATATCATTTGAAGCAAAGAAAACAGCACTACAAATTTGTTTTGATAATTATAGTGTAGCATAGGATAGTACATGTTACGGTGGAATGTACACCTATATTCACAGGTACAATACTTCAATATCATTTGAAGCAAAGAAAACAGCACTACAAATTTGTTTTGATAATTATAGTGTAGTATAGGATAGTACATGTTACGATGGAATGTACACCTATATTCACAGGTATAATACTTCGATATCATTTAAAGCAAAGAAAACAGCACTACAAATTTGTTTTGATAATTATAGTGTAGTATTGTATAGTGCATGTTACGGTGGAATGTACACCTATATTCATAGGTATAATACTTCAATATCATTTGAAGCAAAGAAAACAGCACTACAAATTTGTTTTGATAATTATAGTGTAGTATAGTATAGTACATGTTACGGTGGATGCATAGGTATAATACTTCAATATCATTTGAAGCCAAGAAAACAGCACTACAAATTTGTTTTGATAATTATAGTGTAGTATAGTGCATGTTACGGTGGAATGTACACCTATATTCATAGGTATAATACTTCAATATCATTTGAAGCAAAGAAAACAGCACTACAAATTTGTTTTGATAATTATAGTGTAGTATAGTGCATGTTACGATGGAATGTACACCTATATTCATAGGTATAATACTTCAATATCATTTGAAGCAAAGAAAACAGCACTACAAATTTGTTTTGATAATTATAGTGAAGTATAGTATAGTATAGTACATGTTACGGTGGATGCATAGGTATAATACTTCAATATCATTTGAAGCCAAGAAAACAGCACTACAAATTTGTTTTGATAATTATAGTATAGTATTGTAATAAATAATAGATAGTTAGGGTTGTGGGTTCAAACTCAAGTAGGGTCAATTTTTTCTTTCTTTTTTTTCATTAACATTATTATTTATGCATCGTTTAGATCATATTTAAATAAAAAATAGTTAAATTTTTATCATATAGTTAAAATAGGAATTTATTGGCTAGATAAAGGTATGTTCATTAAAAAAATTGTTCCTCATATTTTCAAAGTCTAATAAAATTAAGATAGATGGCACAACTAAATAAAATATGAAGATCATCCAATATACTTCTGAAAAAAAAATACACCCTTTGTTAAAAGCCCCTCAATTAAGTAAATTTAGGGATACTTCAAAGTGGGTGCTTTCAGTAGAAATTTTAAGAGAAGTGACGAGGTAGGGTAACATTTTTATACATGTATCAATCACTTTGACAAGAAACAATCAATTTCTTCAGTCGTTTGTCTAATGAACGTTATTGTTTGCTTCTTAACACTTTTCAATAAGAATATATATATCTTTTAATCCACCAATTCTGATGAGCATAACATATGTTACAAACAGGTTATAGTACATATAATCAAATACATATGGTAACATTTGTAAATTGAGTAACATGCATAAACATGGTACACTTCAAATATTATAGAACATATAAATTACAAGAGTTTCATGAATACGTCGATAGTATAAATGAATATATTAGCGAAAGTTAAATCGAAAGCATATATTCTACATTATACAACCGAATCAAAATTCATTACAGAACAGAACATAATCTTAAGTCTAGTTTCGAAACGAAAGTACTAGAACAAAGAAGATGTGTTTCAATTCGTCAACAACACACCTGTACAATCAAAATTGCCAAATTGAAGGAGAATATCCATGTATATTGGCATTTATGTAACATAAACAGACGGTCTATTGGCTTTAGTACAGATGCTACATTAAACAAGTAAGCATAGTCTATAGGCAAGTGCATGGTTGATAAATCCGTTCATTGAGCACAACACGGATACTTGTATAAGTTTATCACATTGATCTGAGGGCGACATATCAATAAAAGATTGATAACCTTCATATCCCCACTTATCAATTAAACAATCCCACAATTTAGATCTCTCAGAATCCTTATTTGGGCAAAAGCACACTAGGTGTTCAACAATGTTTTCACATACTCTTTTGCAGTTGGAGCATTCCGTAGTGTATTTTCTAGACACTTGACGAGAAACAATTTTCATCAGTTGCCTACACATGAATATAAGTTTATGATTTTGCCTTGCAACATTCCAAAGTAGACAAGACTTTGAATTCTTGGAGAACATGGTATTCAAGAAACTATATTGCTCAGTTAGTCTATTTAATATTAGTGTTCGCTCCCGAGACAATACACATTTTCCAAGTAAATCCTTCCAAGCATAGTTTGATGGAAAAATGCCGTCAGCGGCATAACTGTCTAAAATATACTTCAACTCATATTTTTGCAATATGCGATAAATGTCCGGTAAAAATCCGTGTGACTGTTTGTCGCCATTTAAAAAGTGGAAAAGTCTTTTATTGAAAAATCCTTTTGCGAGGTATTTATTTGGCAGTCTACAAAGCTGACCTAAGAATTGTAGTTTTTTATGGTCAATTATTGTCTCAATAGAATTTGCACCAATCGACAATAGAGTGAGATCAGTTGAGGTACATGGATGAAATGATTGAATATTCTTAAGGCAAAATCTATGGGATTGTTCTAGGCGTTGAATGTCGGAACCGGTGAGAGTGGACCAAAGTTCGCATCCGTACAAAGACTTCGGAATGACGATGGAACTATAGATCACCATAGAAGAGATTGGGTTTAAGCAAATGGGACTGATTCCACTGTTCACAATGCTAAGATATGTCCCACGTAGTTTATTGCAAGAGTCCTCAACGATATCTTTCGTCGAGAGAAAAGAGTCCGATTTAATGCCAAGATGAACATAATTGGTTACTTCGTTAATCACTTCATTACCAAGTTTGAAAGCCCTGTTATTGTCTATTTTAAAGTGCTCATTGAAAGAAATAATTCCACATTTAGACGCATTGTATTCATACCTCCATTTCTTGGAATATCTGTGACAAATATCCAGCATAGTGTTAAGACCCGAAATTGAAAGAGACACCAAGGTCATATCATCTGCTACTGTTGGAGCACTTATGTTGTTATTGTACACACTTATGCCACAGTTGCTGTTTTCAAGTAAATTTATCAATTCATTTATATACAGTAAATATAGGATCGGGGAACTTTTTCCTCCCTGCCTTGTGCCACGAAGTACGGGGAACCAATCAGAATAAACGCCTTTATATCGAACACAACTGGTCATATTTTGATACATAGCACGGAACGCTAAGAAAGTTGTAGTGTCAATATTTGTATCAAATAGTAATTTATGAAATAAACCATCATGCCAGACAGTATCAAAAGCTTTACGCCCGTCTAAAAATGACACATATAATTTTGAGCCATACTCTCTAGCGTAATATATACTTTCTCTTAAAAGGAATGACGTCATTAAGCACGAGAGACCGTCCTGAAATCCACCTTGTTGAATATTGATGGTAGAGAGAATATCATCTTTTGATCGTGCAATAAGAACAGATTCATATGTTTTAAGACCTACTGGAACTAGGGTAATAGCCCGGTGATTGTCCGGATCGTCTTTTCTTTTATTACCTCCTTTATGAAGAGTAATAATCACACCACGCTTGAGACTGTCTGGTACATGCGTTGAGCGTAACATTCTAGTGTAAATATTTGCCAATGCAGGGGAAACAACACTTTTAGCGTACTTATAATGTTCATAAGTAACGTTATCATGCCCCGCAGCTTTACCTTTAGGAAACGAGCCTATGATTTCACTAATTAGTTCAGGCGTTACAACCGCAGACTGGTCGGGAACTAAATTTGGTAACATATCATGTAGGCGTTGCGATATCTCTGTCTTAAAGACATTGTCATAGTCATTCTCATCTATATTCGCATACATCTCTTTGAAGTAGCCATGCCAACCATGTGTTATTCTTACTTTGTCTCTGACCAACGTACCGTTGAATTTAATACCGGAATTGGCAGAAGATCTACTAGGTTTTCGGCGCCTATTCGTATTTTTCCAGAAGGTCACGGGGTCAACCTCTGCAGTGCGATCAACTTCCGCGTTTTCCTCGGCCATGTGCTCCGCAACACGACGTCGATGAATGCGCCGAAATTCACGTTTGGCGTTCTTATATTCGGTGTAAGCCGACCACTCGTGACCACGCGGCCGTCCTTGTCTACACCACTCTTCTCGGAGTTTTGACATTTCACTATGACAGTGCTTAAGTGGGTCGTTCCAATATGGTTTCAAGTAAGAAACGGGGCGTCGCTTTGGTAAAGTCGCATTTGCACCGTCCACAAGACAGCGTACTACTATTTCATGGTCACGATCAATAGATGCTGGGTCGAGATCAAAATCATTACATGTAATTTCTTGTAAAAGACTATTTGATAACAGAGTGTTATTATACAAATCAATTTGTTCAGGTGTGCATTTCGCCCAGTTTATCAAATCACCGCCTCTAGTAAAATCTTCTTGACCATTTCCGAGAAACTGGACATTTATGGTGCATAGAACTGGTCTATGGGTGGACACATTCAAACAATTGTCATCAAGTATTTCACAGCGCACGACATCCTCAGTAAGCTCAATGGGTAAACAAATAAAATCTATCAAAGTTCGATTTTTGCCGTCATATGAAACAAACGTAGTATTTGCACCAGTACAAATATCTGTGCAATTAATCGGCAAAAGGTTAGTATCTGCAAAAAATTTACACAATAACTTGTCCCGTGTACGATCGCTGTTGACCTCAAACTTCGAATTAAAATCCCCGAGATACAAGACTGTTCCCGAACTACTATATGTATACCATATATCATAGAGTTTGTTTATATATTCTCTAAAGAACTTTACCGAGTGGTTGACGCATGGTAAATATACTTGGAAAATGTACATATACTGGTTTTCAGACACTTGAAATTGAACCCCAACTATTCTATCATCTTCTATACATAAAGGAGATACATACTCATCATAACGTTTATGCCACATTAAAGCAACACCTCCTTTACCCGTTTTCCTTAGAGCTGGAAAAGAGTGGTCTTTATCACAGACTGCATGTACCTGGTAGTCTGAGTTCAGGGAATGTAAAAAGTGAACATTATGTGGGTACAAGAAGTGTTCTGAAATTCCACAGAAGTCTATGCTATGTTTCGATAATGATTCACACAAATACGCCGAGCTAGACATAATACCAGACGCGTTCCACGTTAAAAGGTTAAGGGTACTCATAAGAAATACCAGGTGATATAGTGTGATATGATGAAAAACACCCATTATCGTTTTATAAATGTTAATATATCTAGTCATAGTAATTGTCAACATGTTCATCGTGATTGTGTTGCTGAGATGGGAAATGTCTGTCCGTATTTGAATTGGAACCAGCGTTATGCGGAAGTCGATTAGTGCGCATGCGCGGAGGTAGTTCCTGAGAGTTTCTTTCATTACGACCGTGACGTCGGTGTTGCATAGAAGCAGAAGATTGCCATGGCGTGCACTTAACACCCCGGGGCCAGAAATAGTCCTGCATTATCATATCAGTAGTATCGTCAGCTTTTAAGTTCATTTGTATGATGACTCGATCAGGAGAGCGGACTGTCGGAGTCTTGCGTATATATGTTACGTTAAAACCTTGGCTCTGAACATACTCAGATATCTCACTAAGCGAAACAGTTTTTGAGTAGCCATGAATACAATATCGCTTGGGTTTATCACGTGATTTCACGGTAAAACCGTCGGAATGTGAATCTGTTACTAAGACAGGAATGTGGCGTCCTTCGTCGAGTGAGCAGTCGGCATTTTCGAAATCCTGTTGTCGATTTTCAACATTTTCATGCTTATCGGGTGACGATGTTCGTGCCGTCACGCAACTCATATTATTTTGTGCCGGCGACGTATGCAGATTGTCATTGTTAACGGTATTAACCGACGGCGACCAACTTCTTTGTGGAGGCGTACCATTTACGGACTGCGCATGCATACGGTCACTATAAATCGGAATATTAACGCTTTCATTGCGGTTAACGTCACTATTACAATCCTCATTCCCAGTGTGATCATGCGCATTGACAATAACTGTAGGGATGACATTATCAGAGGGATTCATATTAAGTTTCTGTGCAATTAATATACCATTCGAGTCGAGGAAGTTTTCTAAATTCACAACGCGTTCGGCTAGCATGATGTGGTTGTTGATCAACGGTTGTAGAAGCATTTGTATATTGTGGGACGCTTTAACTTCCATATTAGATAAGCAATCGGTCAGTAATTGTCTCCCTTGCACTATATCATTCTTTAAAGTATCTAACTGCCGATGCACTAATACCATTTCATCCGCCCTAAGTTTTTCATTAGCATGAATAGTTTGTTTAATGCCAAGAACTTCCGCCTGTATTGTGGAGATTGTGTCTTTTAACATATTCACATCAGGCGCAGTTGGGCCAATATGGGCATTATTGTCAAAATTGCGCAACGGTGTGGGAGGAGGTTTGGGTTTACCTTTGCTAAGCAAGTCTTGAATAGCATTGAAAGGTTCACCTTCCAATACAGACACCAGTTTGTAAATGTCATTTGCTAATTTAACTGGCACGGTATCACCCCTACGTGTAGCCACCCTACGTTTCATTTCAGCTTGCAAATCAAAGGGAAAGTCATCATTTGCTTTTAATGCCTCAAAGCATAACTGTCTTAGACCATCTAAGTCTGATTCTGAGTGAGAGTATTCCCTAAGAATTCTAGCTACGAACATACCTTCAGGTAAGTCTCTATACCATACAATGAGTCTGTTATATTCCTCAGCAAACCTGTCTTGTTGATCACTTTCGGTGCCGACCGCGATATCGTCGTCGAAGTCGGGTTGCGTCACAAGGACGACGGGTGGTTCACTGTTAACCGGCACTTTCACCTCGGTATTGTGGTCTATGGTTACAGGTTCGAACTCATGATATGTGCGTGTTGACGTTGTTGAGTTGTCAAGCATCGTAGTAGCATCGCTTGTAACGGGACAAGCATGGGGGGCAGTAACATGGTTTAAGCAGTCATAGCTAGTGTCCAAAAGTACATCAACATTTTGACTATATCCAGATATAATGAATTGGTGACAATCTGAGGTTTTGTGTGAGCATGGATTCTGGGCACATGTAAAGTGAGTATCTGTACTGCCAAATGTAATCGGGGTATGTTCATCACAATCATCACTTGTCGGGCTCGAGAAACAAAAGGTTACCTTAGGCACAGTCACATTGGTAGTGACTGTGCACTGCTTGACATCGCCTTGTATATCATTCATCGTGGTGGTTATCATTGTACATGCAGATTCTAGTTCTCTTTTCTGTCCGTTAATGATCGGTGCTGTATCCCTGGTCAGGTATGTTCTGAAATATCAGATATCACAGACCGGCACGAGCACGTAAACTACGCCGCCAGCGTCTGTTTGATTGCTGTAGACCGGCACGAGCACGTATTCTTACGCCGCCAGCGTCTACAGGAAAGTCAGTTCAACAAGATTAAGCGAGAGTAATAAAGTCAAAATAATGTCAAAATATGGTCGTGATAAATCCAGTATGCACGTGTTCCTACAGTGGACCGGCACGAGCACGTTGTTTAGTAAACGCCGCCTAGCATCCACTATGCAGAACCATATATGATACGCCCGATGTGCGCTTTTCTCATGCGTGACGATCGTTGTGTCCGGAGTTTTTTAAGCAGTTCACCAAATGTCAGAGATTATCACAAGAGGCCAGAGGGCGAATATTAGTATGGCCAGTTTTATTATGTTACATTTTGATTTAAGTCACAACAATGTTACAAAGAAATCGTCAATTAGATATACCTCGGATAATAATCCAATGCGAGATCTGCTTGAAAGATCACCTCCGGGCGTTTTGAGTGAAAGACAAAACTATTGTCTATCAAATTTATCACTATAACTTCATTACCACAAATGTATCAGTAGATTTAAGTTCATAAACGTATTCCTCTCAAGTTCACGATTAATTTCCATATAAAATTTATATATTTACTCCAGTTTATCACTATTAAACTCCGATTTACACGACAGTGGGTTTTATGTGACCACCACCATTCACACTTACATTCCCAAAAAGAAAAGAACGAGCCCTTGTAATGTACAAGCTTTAATTAAGACAAGTTTAAATACATCGTGATTCGTACGGTAAATTGCATTTAGATTTTGATTACACCAGTTTTTTTAATAAATAGAACTGACTTATATTATCATTTCGTCAGTTTATTTAAGTGTACATTAGGGTGGCCACACCTTCGTTCATTCTTAATTGTTTAAAAAAGAAAAATGTCTACGTATGGTATTCTCCGCATCTTAACAGGGAGAAACATTTGATCGCTGTTTTGTCCTCTTTTGTTTTGTTTGTCTTTTTTATATTTGCACATAATCGTTTCTTTAAAATAATTCAGTCTTGTACTATAAGTTCGACATGTACTGACTGCTGGCGAACACTAAATTTATTACATTTGATAAGCCGCAAGAGCAAACATTTCACCTCATGATTTGTTTTCAAAAGTCAGGATTTACAGGCTACTTGTCATTTACATCAGGCTACAATGTCATTTAGATAAGGAAACATGAGTATGTATATAGGCTAAGTATCTTTTGAATTAAATTATAACAAGTACTGCAGTACATTGTGAAGTGTCATGAATATATTTTATATCACCAAGAGTGTACTTGAAAGTGTTCTTTTCATGATTTTCCCTCTCCTGCTAAGGTGTGTACCCATTTATGCGCAAGTACGTACAGAGCCCGTAAGATGACTTTTTCGACACTTTACCCAGCATTTCATTCGTTTTTACGAAATATTAATTCGTAATTATGAAATATTAAGTTGTTTTTACTTAATTTTATTTCATGTCATTGTGAGCATGACACAGACCTTTCAAATCTCACACAGGGGTCATTTGCAAGCCTGAATCAACCTTGCGATTATAAGGCGAATTGTTCTCATGTTATTATATCTAAGTGAACAGGGTTTTGGAGTGAGATTCCTTTTTCTATCCAAAATATCCTATTCCCCACCCCCTTGTCAAATACATGTTCCTATTAGCAATGTTTTAACGTTTGAGGCAATTAATCTTTTCTAACATGTTTCTTAAAAAATAAACATGCTATTGTATTACTTTCTTTTATCATATACATTAGTAAAACTAAATAAATATAAAGGGGCTTCAGATTTTCACTAATCAAATTGTATTCCTTACAATTCATGTATGGGCACCGTGCGATCATAAAATCATAACATTTTGTTTCAAAACTTGTCCGTGTTTGGATTGAGAAGAGGACCGCAATTTTAACAAAATGTTTCCTAGCGTATGTACTATCACGGCTGTGGCAGCAACGCTATTAAAAGGCGATTATTTTCATTTATATACAATAGTTTTAAGTTATTTAACTTGGGTTGAAAACAATCGTTAATAAAACTGCATTTACATTTAGTCAGGGTCTATGTAAATATTACCAAAACTCTTTAAAACCGTAGAAAAATTTATTTCGTTTTTACGCTATGTTACTTCGTATTAAGTTTTACGAATTATCATTTCGTAATTACGAAATAACATTTTGTTTTTACAAATTTATTTTTCGTAATAACGAGATAATATTTCGTAATTATGAAATAGTATTCATAATATTCATTTCATATTGCGTATCTTTCAAACAGTAAAAGCGCATGCGTATCTTTGTCATGATATAACCAAACTTTTCCAGTATCGCCTCTTCTATGAAATCAATTTGTTTTAGTACAAAAACAAACAAATAACACAATAAATTAGTCATCTGTGAACACGGAGCTCTTAACTACAGACAAGCAACATTCATTTTCTGTTCATGTCCGTTTTAAACTACTTTTGTTTAATCTGTTCATTATAACGTGAATGTAAAATCTATCTTAACTCGTACTGTTAACTTAAAAGCATTTTAAAAACGAAACAATAATTACCTTGGCATATATTAATTATATGCCGCTTTGCCTAGAAATGATTATATTTTTCTTCAATGCCAAACTGGGTACAATGATAAAGTATTTGTTGGATCCACTACTGGGAAATTTCCGCATATTGCTTTTGACCCAAAGCCTCCAAAACAGTCTGACATCTTTAAAAGTTACAGAGGAGAACTAATTTTAAGTTGAATAATTACAATCCCGTTTATTCGAAGTGCCTGGTACTGAATATTTACTTTGAATAATCGATGGGTTCGAATTATCGAAATCGGAATAGTGTGATAGACGAAAACTACTCCACTT